GAAATCACACAATGTATTGCATCGGACAAATCTTCTACAAGAAAATTCTTTAAAGTGTTAAAAAGCAAAAATGGCACTTTGAGGACTAAGGTGCATCCAACCCACACCACGGTATTCTCGGTCACTTCATATGCATGTGAAAGCTGGACAAGGAATAAGAAAGATTGAAGAAGAACTAATGCCTTTGAATTATGATATTGTTGAAGAATATTGATATACCATGGACTGTCAGAAGAGCAAACAAATATGTCTTGCAAGAAGTACAGGCAGAACACTCCTTAGAAGCAAGCATGGTGAGACTTCATCTTATGTACTTTGGACATGTCATCAGGAGGGAGAATGATATCATGTTTGGTAAAGTAGAGAGTCAAGGAAAAAGAGAAATACCCTCAGTGAGATGGATTGACACAGCGGCTGCAGCGATGTGCTCAAACACAGCAATGATTGTGAGGATGGCACAGGACTGGGCAGTGTTTTGTTCTGTTGTACACAGGGTCACTACGAGTCAGAACCAATTTGATGACACCTAACAACAACAGCATGTTTGATGGGAAAGATTACAGCTACTACAATCCACCAAACAGCACTATCCTGCCAAACTCCATTGAGTCAGGATATGCTCCCAGACCCAGTGGCTGGGAGCCCCCGCTCTCATCGGCAAGGTGATGTCTGATCTTACTCAGTCAGACTCTTCCCCACCACCTTCTGCTCCATCCTACCTCACTCTGGCCTTTGCACTTAACTCTGCCTTGCCTCCATCTCTATCTAGTTCATTCTTTTCCAGAACGGAAGGCAGAGATGAGTGAGAAGAAAATTGCACTAAATTCAGAGGCTCAATCAAGTCAAGAGTTGTAGCTATGCTGTAGTGGAAGAGAACACTAGGCTTAGAATCAGATGTGGGAGTTCATCCTAGTTCTGGTACTTATTCAACTTGCCTACTTTAGGGGGCTGAGCTTTATTTTTTTAAACTCTATAAAATGGTGCTATTATCTACCAATAAGGTTGTATGGAGGATTAAATAAATAACATCATTTGTGTAAAAGCATCTAGCACACTGCCTAACATGTAGAAAGCATTCAATTGTTTGCTGAATCAGAGAAATGGAAGTTTTCAGACATTACTTTTTTCCAAATCCTACAGCAAAGGACTCAGAACTTTCATTTGTTCAATAAACATTTATTGAACACCCACTACAAGGTAGGTGGTATTTTTGCCCTTTGTGGGGGATTTAAAAAAAGTTGCTACTCTCATGCTTAAGGAGTCCACAGTCTAGTAGGGGGAGGCAGACTTTTCATTCCTTACTTTCTTCTCTCCTAGTTTCTTCCATCACATCCCAGAGAAGCTATGTATAAAAAAGGGCAACAACAATAATTTTTTTACAATAAGTAATTTTATGAGAGTCAAAGTCCAAGCCATAAAGCTCACTCAGCAGTTCTCTATGCCCAGACATACTGGAGGGTAAGTTCAATATCTTTAGTTCTCCCCACGCCCACTGAAACCCACTTTCCACATCCTTCCTGGTCAGCAACCCGGAGACTGAACTGTATGGCCTACAGAGATGGGGTCCTAGTCATGTTTGGCTAGTGTAAGGGGTGACAATAGCAAGAGATGGGAGAGAGTGAAGAAAACAAGTGAGTATTTACTTATCTCTCCATTGCCCGTCCTGTGCCAGACTGGCTGTATCCCTGCAAGAAGGCCATAGCTCCTGTCTGTCAGCCCGCTCCTCACAGCTTTCTCTCTCCTCAGGTTCTAGAGGATATTGCATGGTTTAAAATCAGGAAAGGTGTGCATCAAGATTGTATCTTTTCACCATGCTTATTCAATCTGTATACTGAACAAATGATCTGGACTAAAAGCTGGACTCTATGAAGAAGAATACAGCATCAAGATTAGAGGAAGCCTCACTAACAACCTACAATATGCAGAAGATACAACTTGGCTTGTTAAAAGTGAAGATTTGAAAAAGATTGGAGGAAAGATTGAAGTTATCAAGGATATAATTTTACTTGGATCCACAATCAACATCCATGAAAGAGCAGTCAAGAAATCAAACGACGTATTTCATTAGGGAAACCTGCTGCAAAAGACCTCTTTAAAGTGTTGAGGAACACACATGTCACTTTTAAGCTAAGGTGCACCTGACCTAAGCCATGCTCTTTTCAATAGCCTCATGTGCATGTGAAAGCTGAACAATGAATAGTAAAGACTGCAGAAGAATTGATTCATTTGAATTGTAGTGTTGGGGAAGAATATTGAATGTTCCATGGCCTGCTAGAAGAACAAACAAATCTGTCAAATCTGTCTTGCAAGAAATATAGCCAGAATGCTCCTTAGAAGTGAGGATGACAAGACTTCACCTCTCCTAGTTTGGACATGTTATCAGGAGAGACCAGTCCTGGAGAAGGACAGCAAAGTTGATGATCATCAAAAAAGAGGAAGACCCTTGTTTGGGCTATCTAGTGCCGCTCTGACAGGAATATACCACAAATGGCATGGCTTGAACAAACAAGAGTATATCCTCTTAAAGTTTAGAGGCTTTAAGTCCGAGTTCAAAGTGCTGGGCTCTAGGGGTTGGGTGAAAGCCCCTCAACCTTGGGCTTCAGTTCTCTACCTCCTGCTCCTGGCCCACTGAAGCTAGAGGCTTTTCTTCACTCAGACAGCTGCTGGCTGCTGAGGCTGACAAGCCCAAAGTTGACAAGGAAAAAGGCACAGTCCCCATATTACCAAATCATACAGTAGGCCATTAATTCAAGTCCATTAAAAGTCCCAGGGCTGGCAGAGCATGGCAGGCTGCTAAACAACGACATGACTACATGCAGGGTTCAAGCATGCCATAAGCTAGAGATCGTTCCCCAAGGCTTCTCCTTATATACAGGAAGCGGACCACATCCCTAAGGCAGCTACTCAGCTGCTCACAGTAGATTCCACCATGGAGTTGATTACCAGTCTCATCATGGGGAATACAACATTCAGCTGCTCAGCCACTCAACCAGGCCCAGCCAAATTCACATACAAACTTAACTACCGCAACCCTCGATGAGATGTATTGACACAGTGGCTGCAACAATGGGCTCCTGCATAGCAACAATTGTGAGGATGTCGCAGGACCACACAGTGTTTCATTCTGTTATACATGAGGTCACTGTGAGTCAGAACCAACTTGACACTTAACAGCAACAGCAGGTTCTAGTAGCTGAACCCTCCTCTTGCCTATGTCAGGACTAAGGGTAGTAACAGCTCCCTCAGTCCCTTAAAAGCTCTAGGGTACTGCACTACTTCTTGCAGTTTCCCTACCTACTGCCTCAAACCAAACAAACCAAACTCATTGCCATAGAGTATATTCCAACTCATAATGACCCCCATTGGGTGCCCAAGCTGTAAATCCTTATGGAAGCAGACTGCCTCTTCTTTCTTCTTGGAGCAGCTGGTGGGTTTGAACCACCAGTCTTTTGGTTAGCAGCCAAATGCCTTAATCACTACACCACCAGAGCTCTTTACCCACTGCCTATACCTTGTAAATAGTCTTTTGAAAACTCTTCTCAAATTTCTCAATTGAACTATTACATTTGTTTCCACCTAGACCTGACAGATACGCATGTGCTAAGGAGTTCCCATTCCAAGTAAAGAGATAGACTGAGCCAATGAAATAATAAAAAACCAATATGTAGTACATCATGATGCATAAAAAGTGGTTTAAGAAGAAAAATTTTGGTGTAAGACCTGATTTTAAACCGTTTCTTACCAACTGTGTAAGAGTGGACAAGGAATTTAGCTTTTTTTTTTTTTTTTTTAATTGAGATTTGGATGAAAGTTTACAGAGCAAATTGGTTTTCCATTCAACAATCCATACACATTCTGTTTTGTGACATTTACTGTAATCTCCACACTGAAACAGTATTCTTCCAGCTTTCTCCCTATGCCCACCTCTTCCCTTTATCCTTCCTTCCCATCCCTTCCCACATTCCTAGCTCTGCCCCTGGGCAAACGCTGTTCTCTTGATCTTATGTGCTTGATTGTTGCAATGAGTACATACCCTCCTGATATTACTGTTTACCTTCTAGTCTTGCCTATCATTTGGCTGCCAGTTGAGTCACAGGGGTTAAGTTCAGTTCCTAACTTGAAGGGTGTCTAAGAACTATAGTCCCAAGGGTTCCATCTATCTTCATCAGACCAGTAAGGCTGGTTTGTATTATTTTGAGTTTTGTTGCACATTTTCCCTCATCTGTCCAAGATCTCATATTGTGATCCCTTTCAAAGCAGTCAGCAGGGGAAGACAGACACCATCTAGCTCCTCTGGTTTCTGAATTGTGGAGGCTGGGTTTCATGTTCTCCATCAGTCCTTTGGACTAATTGCCTCCTGCATCTTTAATTTTCTTACTCTTCTTTGCCCCAGATAGGAATAGACCAATTGTTGCATCTCAGATGATTGCTCACGAGCTTTTAAGACCCCAGTTGCTACTCACCAAAATAGGATGTAGAACACTGTCCTCATGGAATATGTAATGCCAAATGCCCTTAGTGTCTCCTGAGACTACTGTCCTGAGCCTCCATATCCAGCAACTCATTCCCTCAGGGTGTTTGGCTATGACTAAGGTGATTTCACAACTTTGTCCCCTGTATGCTCTACTACACTCATGGATTAATTTAACCTCTTTAAACCTAATTTCTTTGTTTATAAAATGAAATTCAAATAACCAGTCCTCAGAGTTGTGAGAATTAATAAGATAAACCATCTGAAACACTTAGTCCATTGCCTGACCCACAGCTAGTGGTGAATAGATAACAACTTGTTATTATTACAATGATTAACAGCATTATTATTAGCTCTGTGTAAATGCTTAAAGGATTTTTTTCGCCATTTTCTAAACTGCAAAATAATCTCAAACACATTTCTAAAGTAAACTACATGGGTTTTTCACATTATGCAGAAATGTGGAAGCATTGTTGGCTATTTGTTTGGCTTGATCCCTCTTTTCAACAGATTCCTTGTCTCCAACCAGGTGGTGATTCGCAGGCGCCCATTGGTCTACATAGTGAGCCTGCTGATTCCCAGCATCTTCCTAATGCTTGTGGACCTGGGAAGCTTCTACCTTCCACCCAACTGCCGTGCCAGGATTGTGTTCAAGACAAGTGTGCTCGTGGGCTATACTGTCTTCAGGGTCAACATATCTGATGAGGTGCCAAGGAGTGCAATGAGCACCCCTCTGATTGGTAAGCAGACTTAGGATCAACCAGACACCCATCTTCCATTCCTGCTGTCAAAGATCTGATGTTGCACTTCTGGTTGGAGGAGGGAGAAGCCCAGAAACTCCAGCTAACCCCCATGCTCTGTATTCCTTCTCTCAGGGATCTTCTTCACAGTCTGCATGGTGTTCTTGGTCCTCAGCTTATCTAAGTCCATCCTACTGATCAAATTCCTTCATGATGAGCAGCACAGTGGGCAGGAACGGCCCCTTTTGTGCCTTCGAGGGGACACAGATGGTGATGGGACTAGAATGGATCCCAGGACCCAGCTTGCTGGGGCAACAGGTTTGTGAGGAGCCTTGATGTCTCTACCCTGCCTTATCTTATCATCCCATGGGTAGAGCACCAGGCCATGTGTTGGTCAGTGTGAAAAATTTGAAACACTTGACTCTTAGCTGTGTGCTGAAGTTTTCATTACCTTTTTGCAACTGAAGATTATATCCTCTGGCTTTCCAGAAAGCCTAATATTGGCTTCCAGGTAAGGTCTTCAGTCACCTTTAGCTTGTTATGTTTTCCAGTTGCAATCAATTACCCAAAGTGACTGAGCCATTCATTCCAGAACAGTAGATTGATGACATAGGTAGATAGGTAGAAGATAGGTAAATAAATAGATAAATATAGAGGCATGGAGGTATAGACCTAGATATATTTGTATATATTTACATTCTAGTTGCTTATCGTAAAAAAGTATAAGAATTTATCCCAGCCCCTAAAGCTCCAACTGAGGCAAATGAGACTGGCTGTAGCTCAAAAAATCTCCTGGATGGATCGGGCCTATTTATACCCTAGTTATACAACACAGCTCTGCCATGTTCTCTGAAGCTTCCCTTGCACAGCCTTGCCTACTCTCAGCAAAGAGGGAGAGAGTCCCCAACTCAACCCCAACCCACTGACTAGTTTTCCCCACAACCTTGGTTGAAGGATAAGGTTTTCACCTTCATTGGAAAGTCCAGATGGACTTTGGTAGCCCTTGACTCACATAGGGTGTTTTCCTCCATCACACAGAGTCATCTTCCAGCTGTCAAGAGCAGCAGGTCCAGTCAGGGACCCTGAAAGAAGTCTGGTCGCAGGTGAGATTCATAAATGACTACCTCCGGGCTCAGGAGCAGGCTGACCAACAGGAAATCAAGTGGCTGGCCCTTCTATACCGCTTTGACCGACTGCTCTTTCGAAGCTACCTCATTGTACTGGGGCTCTACACCATCACCCTGTGTTCCCTCTGGTCCCTGTGGAGCGGCTTGTGAAGACTAACACTTGGTGCTGTCAGTGTGATGTCATGGCACTTGGGGAAGGCTGAAATTTTTTGTGGGGAGATGGGAGGAGAAAAAAAGGTGGGTTAAAAAGCTTTCCACCCCCAGCCCCATTGCCTCCTTTCATTAAGTCTAGGTGCTCACACCTAAAAACTACTGAATGACCCAGGAGTAATGCATGAATGATGAAAATACATAAACAGTACACAGTATAACAACGAAAAGTAAACTTTCCTCCTTATTTCAGTTTATGTCCCCAAAGTAGTCACTGTCAACAATCTCTTTTTTATAGTTTCAGAAAATGACTAGGGACTAAACCTGTTACCATTGCCATTAAGATGATTCTGATACAAGTGACCCTATAGAGTAGAATTGCCCATAGGGTTTCCAAGTCTGCAATCTTTATGGAAGCAGACTGCCACATCTATCTCCCATGGATTGGCTGGTGGGTTCAAACTGCCCACCTTTTGGTTAGCATATGAGCACTTAACAACTGTGCCTCCAGGGCTCCTGTCTAGGCACATACAAGCATTGTTGTTAGGTGCCGTCGAGTCGCCTCCAACTCATAGAGACCTCATGTACAGCAGAATGAAACACTGCCTGGTCCTGCGCCAACCCCATGATCTTTGCTATTCCTGAGCCCATCGTTGAAACCACTGTGTCAATCCATCTCTTTGAGGGCCTTCCCCTTTTTCATTGTCCTTCCACTTTACCAAGCATGGTATCATTCTCCAGGGAATGGTCCCTTCTGACAACATGACCAAAGTAGGTGAGACAAAGTCTGGCTATTCTTGCTTCCAAGGAGATTCCAGCTGCACCTCTTCCAGGACAGATTTGTTAGTTCTTTTAGCAGTCCATGGTACTTTCAGCATTCTTCACCAATACCACGACTCAAAAGCATCGACTCTTTTTCGGTCTTCCTTTTTCATTGTCCACCTCTCACATGCCTATGAGACATTTGAAAATATCATGGCCTGCATCAAACTCACCTTAGTCTTCAAGGAAATATCTTTGCTCTTCAGCACTTGAAAGAGATCCTTTGCAGCAGATTTGCCCAATGCTGTAAGACATCTGATGTCTCGAATGCTGCTCCCATTGGTGTTGATTGTAGAACCAGGTAATATGAAGTCTTTGACAACTTTAGTCTTTACTCTCTTTATTGTGATGCTGCTTATTGGTCCCGTTGTGAGGACTTTTGTTTCCTTTATATTGAGGTGTAATCTATACTGAAAACTGTAGTCTTCATTCTTCATCAATAAGTGTTTCAAGTCCTCTCACTGTCAGCAAGCAAAGTTGTGTTGTCTGCATAATGCAGGTTGTTAATGAGTTTTCCTCCAATCCTGATGCCACATTCTTCTTCATATAGTCCAGCTTCTCTGATTTTTTGCTCAGCATACAGATTGAATAAGTATGGTGAAAGGATACAACCCTGATGCACTCCCTTCTTGATTTTAAACCATGCAGTGTCCCATTGTTCTGTTTGAACAGCAGCCTCCTGGTCTATGTACAAGTTTCTCATGAGCACAATTAAGTGTTCTGGAATTCCCATTCTTCTCAATGTTGTCCATAATTTGTTATGATCCACACAATCGAATGCTTTTGCATAGTCAATAAAACACAAGTAAACATCTTTCTGGTATTCTTTGCTTTGAGCCAAGATCTGTCTGACATCAGCTATTATCTCCCTCGTTCCACGTCCTCTTCTGAATCCAGCTTGCATTACTGGAAGTTCTCTGTAGCCATTTTTTTAATTACTTTCAGTAAGATTTTATTTGGGTGTGATATTAATGATATTGTTCAATAATTTCCACATTCTTTGGGATCACTTTTTTTGGAATGGGTACAAATATGGATCTCTTCCAGTCAGTTGGCTAGATAGTTGTCTTCTAAATCTCTGCCATAACTGAGTGAGTGCCTCCAGTGTAGCATCCGTTTGTTGAAACATCTCAATGGGTATCCTGTCAATTCCTGGAGCTTTGTTTTTCACCACTTCCTTCAGTGCAGCTTCAACTTCTTCCTTCAGTACCATTGGTTCTTGATCATATGCCACCTCCTGAAATGGATGAACATCAACCAATTCTTCTTGGTACAGTGACTCTGTGTATTCTTTCCATCTTCTTTTGATGTTTCCTGCATCATTCAATTTATTGCCAATAGAATCTTTCAATATGGCAACTTGAGGCTTAAATTTCCTCTTCAGTTCTTTCAGCTTGAGAAATGCCAAGCGTGTCCTTCCCTTTTGGCTTTCCAACTCCAGGTCTTTTCACATTTCATTATACTAATTGACTTTGGCTTCTCGAGCTGTCTTTGAAATCTTCTGTTTAGCTCTTTTATCTCGTCATTTCTTCCATTTGCTTTAGGTACTCTCCATTCAAGGGCAAGTTTCAGAGTCTCTTCTGACATCCATTTTGGTCTTTTCTTCCTTTCCTGTCTTTTTAATGAACTTTTTCTTTCTTCATGCATGATGTTCTTGATGTCATCCCACAATTCCTCTGCTTTTCAGTCATTGGTGTTCAATGCATCAAATCTATTCTTTACATGGTCTCTAAATTCAGGAGGGATATGATTAAGATCATATTTTGCCTCTTTGGACTTGTTTTAATTGCTGTCAACTTCCACTTGAACTTGCATATGAGCAGTTGATGGTCTGTTCCACAATCAGCTCCTGGCCTTGTTTTGGCTGAAGATATTGAGCTTCTCCATTGCCTCTTGCCACAGATGTAGTCAATCTGATTCCTGTGTACTCCATCTGGTGAAGTCCATGTGTATAGCCACCGTTTGTGCTGTTGAAAAAAAGTGTTTGCAATGAATAAGTTGTTGGTCTTGCAAAATTCTATTATGCAAACTCCAGCATTATTTCTATTTCCAAGGCCAAATTTTCCAACTACCAGTGATTCTTCTTTGTTTCCAACTTTTACATTCCAATCACTAGTGATAATCAGCACATCTTGATTGTATGTAGCAGTCAATTTCAGATTGCAGAAGTTGATAAAAATCTTCAGTATCCTCATCTTTGGCTTTAGTGGTTGGTGTGTACATTTGAATAATAGTAGTATTAATTGGATTTCCTTGTAGGCATATGGATATTATTCTGTCACTGACAGCATTGTACTTCAGAACAGATCTTGAAATATTCTTTGTGACGATGAATGCCATGCCATTCCTATTCAATTTGTCATTCCTGACATAGTAGCATATGGTTATCTGATTCAAAATGGCCAAAACCAGTCCATTTTAGCACACTAATGCCTAGGATATCAATCTTTATGTGTTCCATATCATTTTTTACAACTTCCAATTTTCAGATTCATACTTTGTACATTCCATATTCTGATTGTTAATGGATGTTTTCAGCTGTTTCTTTTCATATTGAGTCATGCCACTTCAGCAAGTGGAGGTCCCAAAAGCTCTACTTTATCCATATCATTAAGGTAGGCTCTAGTCTGATGAAGCAGTGCTTTCCCAGTCATATTTTGAGTGCCTTCCGACCTGAGGGGCTCCTCTTCCAGCACTGTATTGAACAATGTTTCAGGGCTATTCATAAAATTTTCCAGTAATATATAAGACAGTCTTTCACTACTATTCATAAGGTTTTCACTGGCCAGTTCTTTGAGAAGTGGATGGCCTCTTCTTTCTTCCAAGTCTGTCTCAGTCTGGAAGCTCCACTGAAACTGGTCCACCATGAGTTTCCTTGCTAGCACAGCCTCCAGCCTCACAGCCATACACAAGCCACCACAGTATGACAAACCAACAGACAAGTTCTTCTCCCTTAGCTGTTCTAACCACTCCACTCAATTCCTGGGTTTCCCTTTACCTATTCTGGCCACTGGCACTGTCTGCCACTGCTTTCTGCCACCTGGGGCTGCCCTCCTGCCTTACCTGTTCTGGCCACCAGCATATTTGTATATTTAAACATATTTAAAGATATTAAGCATATTTTTATGTTAAACAGTTTTTTAAAAGTGCAAGATCACTCCATCTCCCAATCCCATTCTGATCATTTATTAATTCAGCAAGAAGGTCAGTCATTCAATAAAACCTTTATTGAGTGTAGGTTGAGTCCTAGGCATGATATTAGGCACAGTAGAGAATACAAACACAAGGCAATAATAAATCCTTCTTTGCTTGACTTGATTCCCATGGTAAACTTTGTACCACCAGAACACAAAATTCCCACCATCATTATATCCTTCTGAAGAGCTTGCCCCCTGCTATCCCAAATGAGGCAACCATCTTCATCTCACTCCCAAGCCTCCTCAGCAGGGTATTATTTTGAAGGAGATCCAGGTGCCAAGGCTTCCAGCATGCCACCCCACCCTCTCCCCCCATCCTGTTGGGGAGGTGATGTAGTTAAATTTGTGCTTCATTTGTGCTCAATCTAACACAGTGTAAGGCACTGAACTGGGCGATAGCATAACACATAGTCCTTGAGTTCAAGGAATTTAGCCTCTCCTGTTCCAATGTTTTCTTAGCTTGCCATCCATGCCCATGGTTGCTCATCCAGAACAGGTCACCTGGCACTTGAGTAAATCAACTGCAGGCCCATACTCTTCAGTAGCCAAAGTCATCTTTAAAATCTGTATTGATTAGTCTATCTTATGACAATTCCTATAAGCTTTGTTGGTATAGTGCCTAAGCATTTGACTTCTAACCAGAAGGCTGGCAGTTCAAACCCACCAGCCACTGCTCGGAAGGAAGATTGGACAGTCTGCTTCCGTAGTGATACTCCCTCAGAAACCCAAGGAGGGGTTGCTATGATTAGATCCAACTTGACGGCAGTGGGTTTGGTTTTTTTGGATGACCGGTCCTATGGCCTCATAACCTGAATCCTAAAACTAGAATTCAAGCCTGTCACAAATTTCCTTCCCCTTGTATTTGACTTTCTTCACTTCTCATCGTTTCCTAGACCAGAGTTTTCAATCGAGCCATGCCAGTGTGTTTGTCTTCCTCCTCAGGAAAGATTTGTTTCTACCTCTACTTCTATTTGACATTCT